AGGGCAATATGAGGTCCCAATAGGAGCTGTAAGAGAGAACTAGTGTGGAATCAACCAGCCATTTAGAAAATATAAATACAAAAGAGACTATTGTCAGTCTGCTATAATGCATTTCATAATTAAGCAATATGCTTTTCATTCATACTCCTGAAATGGCCCCGATACGCAACGGATTCTTCTCACTGCTCTCTGTGTTGGCTGGCCAAGGTCCCTGAGCTGAAGCAACCTCACTGAATTGTTGAGAAGTAAAAATGGTGTGGGTACAATATAAGTTTCCTTGTGGAAACTAACTGGAAATGTAGCTTGTGAAAGCAACAGGTAAATCATCAGTTAATACATTTATCTCCATTGACATTCATCCAAGTGTTGGGGGAGGCAATGCTGAAAGAGGCCTCCATACCTTCTCATTCTGAGGGTAATGAATCAGAAAAATCAGTTGGATAACTCAGGTGGTGATTGTATCCATGCTGCCAATCTCCTAAAGATGGCATAGAAGAAGTTGTGCCATGATTTGGTTCTTGTTTTCTTATTACAATGTATACCAAGATTTTGACTGAATATATTTAATGTAACTCTAAAAATGATACATCTCAGACATATTTCCTCACAAATCTCCCAGAACTTAAAGTGAAAAGTATCCATGATGCAATGATTCCAGTAGTCATATGAAACACTGTGTAAATGATTAACTGTGTGGGGAGAGGACTATGGAATGAAGTAAAGGAGAAATGGTATATTAGCTCTATATAAATGAATAAGTACATCTGAGTTTTAGCTATCTGGAATCTGGGTTTGAGATAAAAAAAAATGAGAAGACTCTTTAACTAAAGATAACAGTTTACTTTTTCTGTTTAGACATCACCCCGTTCATCCTGCACTGAGAATTGTCAGTCTGGATACAATAAACAACTTCGAGAGGGTGAACCAATTTGCTGCTATGATTGCCTTCCATGCCCTGAAGGCATGATTTCTAACACAACAGGTAGTTATGGAAACAAGATATGGAAAGTTCTCACAATTAGGGATAGAGCAAAACATGCTTAGATATACAGAGACACCTCTCACACTGAGCAAAAGGAATGGATGATTCTTAGAGATCAGATGGGACACCCTAGCTTCATTACAACATGTGTTGGTTTATTTGTTTTATTTCCTTTATTTTTTTTCCTTAGATTTCTATTACCTGTTTCTCTAGGAGTTCAACACAGACTTCCCTCCATTTTTTCCCACTGCAGCAAGCCTGTGAGATAGGAGAAGCTGAGAGATCATGAGTAGTCAAAAAACGTTGGTTCTGTAATTGTGGGTGGACTTAAACCTGTATCTTCATCTGTCCTAGTATAGCAGCTATCCACTGCAGTTTACTGACTCTCTTTAAATGATTGTTCTGAAGTATTAAAGTTACATTTAAAGATTTTGAAAGGTCTATTAGCATATAACCCTACTTTGCACTTTTGGTTAGAATTCTGATTTTAGAACGCATATGGCAGAACTGAGATTTGAAATTGAAAAGTTACATTTAAAGATTTTGAAAGGTCTATTAGCATATAACCCTACTTTGCACTTTTGGTTAGAATTCTGATTTTAGAACGCATATGGCAGAACTGAGATTTGAAATTGAAAAGTTACATTTAAAGATTTTGAAAGGTCTATTAGCATATAACCCTACTTTGCACTTTTGGTTAGAATTCTGATTTTAGAACGCATATGGCAGAACTGAGATTTGAAATTGAGATATTATTGTATTTACTATTTGCAGTACATTTAATTTCAACAAAATAACAATTACAAGGAATCTGGAATCATACTCTTTGCAATCCTCCATGTCTATATCTGTGTGAGACAGAAACAGAGAAATGATTTTATATACTGTGTTCTCTCTCTCTCTTTCTCCTTTCCTCCCTCTTTTCCTAGATGCAGAATATTGCAACCAATGTCTAGATAATGAGCATTCCAGCCAAGGACAAGATCAATGTATTCCAAAATCTATAGACTTTCTGTCTTATACTGAAACTTTGGGAACTCTGCTAGCTTCCTCTTCTCTCATTATGTCTTTCATCACAGTTCTGATACTGATCATTTTTATTAAATATAGGGATACTCCACTTGTCAAAGCCAACAACCGGGACCTCACCTATGCCCTCCTTTTCTTGCTCCTGCTTTGTTTCCTCTGTGCCTTGCTCTTTATTGGCAAGCCTAGGAGAGTGACCTGCCTTTTCCAACAAATAATATTTGGCCTCATCTTCTCCGCTGCCATTTCCTCTGTATTGGCCAAAACCATCACAGTAGTTTTAGCTTTCAAAGCTATACAACCAGGAACCAACATGAGAACCTGGCTGAGGAAAAGAGTAGTTAACTCGATTATGCTTCTCTGCTGCCTTGGCCAGTTTGGACTCTGTGTTGTCTGGCTAGCAGTAAGTCCTCCCTTTCCAGATGTGGACATGACATCCCAGAGCACAAAGATCACAGCTCAGTGTAATGAAGGATCGGTTGCCATGTTTTATTGTGTCCTTAGCTATATGGGCTTCTTAGCCATTGCTAGTTTTGTTGTAGCTTCCTTTGCAAGGAACCTGCCTGATAGCTTTAATGAGGCCAAATTTATTACATTCAGCTTGTTGGTGTTCTGTAGTGTTTGGGTCTCCTTTGTACCCACTTACGTAAGCACCAAAGGGAAATACATGGTTGCTGTAGAAATCTTTTGCATCCTAGCCTCTGGGGCAGGATTACTCTGTTGCATCTTTTTTCCAAAGTGTTATATTATAATTGTGAAACCTGGACTTAATTGCAAAGATCATTTGATAAGAAAACTTAATTAAACTAGATCTTGTCATATTTTCTTTATTTTGCTCTTCTTACCCACCTGTAATTATTTTGGCGTTCACTATTTATCTTGCATTTCATGAAATATCTGTAAACCTTCTTCATTAGCTTACTGTTGAAAACAACCTATATTCATATATTTTAAATAAAGCAATGAATTATGAAACCACAAGAGTTGCATAGTCAACTTGCAATATGTTACTAGCTGAAATTGTAAAGAAGACTTATCTGGCACCCTACCTTATTGACTCAAATGCAACCATGATAACTTATGTTAACGAGACTTGAAATGATAATGTAAATTTGAGTACAAGTAGTCCTCACTTACCAACCACAATTGGGACAGACAACTCTGTCATTACGTGATGCGGTTGTAAAGTGAAATATCACATGACCATGCCCAATTTACAATGGTACTTCCAGCTGCGTTCATTACCGAATCACACAAGGTCATTAAGCAGAATGTCATGTGACCAGGGATTGCAACATCCTGCTGGCTTTACCATTGATTTTCCTTGTCAGAAGCCAACTGTGAAGGTCATAAATGGTGATCATGTGACCCTGGGACGCTGCCACTATTGTAAATACATGTCAGTTGCCAAATGTTGGAATTGTGATTGCTGACAGTGGGGGCACAGGGATAACCGCAACTTCAAGGACTGGACATAAGTCTCCTTTTTCAGCACTGTTGTAACTTTGAACAAGTGGTTGGTAAGCGAGCACTACCTGTATCATCAGGCTAAAGATATATTTGTCACCTCAAACTAGTGGATTACCTCCTCCAACATTTAAATGTTAAATAATAGTGTTTTACTTAAATGTTAAATAATAATGAGGAGATAGCTGAGCCCTGGGGCACCCCATGCTAGAGCACCCAACAGCCAAGCCATTCCTCCATTCTCCCCACTCCCCATACATACAGTATACATACTGCTGATGGAACTGACTACTGAAGTAGAAACAGAATCACTGCAAGACAGTGCCTCCAATTCCCACAGAGAATCCAACAGGATCTCACAATGAGTGGTAACAAAATTTGCTGAATGTTCTAACAGATTATAAATGTAGTAGAAAATCTGATAAATACATCACAGAGTATGCAGACACCACATGAGCATAAAAATTTATGATGAACCCATCGTCTTCCACCAGATA